CTCTCTAACCAAAAAGAGAAGAAGTTCAGTTACCATGACTCAACCTCCAGACAATTCCACCTGGATGACTGAGAATCTTCATAAACATATAGAGGAAGTTTCAAATTTGCATGGGATATAATATGGATAGTGTCTTACTGGGTGATATAGCAAATATTCTAGAACAGCTAATTAGAAGAGATGAGTTTAATTTTCTGTTTACTCTAGCTTTCTGTTGCTAGGGTTAAGGTCATGCTAAATAAGTCTAGGCTCATCTTGCTTAGTATGTAGTTGCTACTAGTAGGCAGCCAGAAAATTAAGACAACCATACTAACCTTACATCTAATCATGGAGTCCCTATTCAGTTTTCATGGCAAAATAGGCAGTGAAATAACTATTGTTTGTGAATTTGTGGGACACTTCAAAGTTATCTAAGCTAGTCATCATCTATTTATGTTATATCACTAAAACTCTCATTATAATGTAACATGTTTTCTTTGGTCTCTCTAATGTTTTTAGCAGTAGTTTAATTGGGTGCTCTCTGAACCTTCTTCATACATTTTGCCATTTTATATGGAAAAATTATATATTGTAGGTACCTCAATTATATTGTATTTTTATAACATGCTAGGAAATATTAAAAAGAAATGTGTAGAAGGGAACATGTCCAAAGAAGTTATCTATTTCCTTCCTTCCTTCCTTCTCCTTTTGAATATATACCCAACACATTTATTTTAAAAGCTGATTAAACAAGTCAAATAAAGATACATTTAATTTTTTTCAAGTATTACATGCATACTTCTGTTCTAAAAATAATCTAAAAGGAACATTCATACAGGTAAGAGAGGGAGATATTTGAGAAAATGTCTTTCTCAGTTATTAAAAAAAAAGTTATGAATTCATCCTTGAGTTAGCACAAAGTAAGGCCAGGATAAAATCTGCTGTCCCCACTGCCAATGTTTATCCTGCCGCTATTGCATCTGTCTTGAGTCACTGCTGAACTGTGTTGTTCTGTTCAATGAGTGCTTCCCTCATTATAGGCATGGGGACTGGTATTCTCATGTGCCTTTTCAGCACATTACCAGCCAGCAAAGAAAATACCCTCAACCCAGAATAATTCAGTAGAAATGGGGAAGGTCAGATCTCAGAACTCTATCTGGGTTTCACTATGCTGGTTGATCTGTCTCTCCTCCCAAACCCCATTTGAGCATAATCCAAGTTAAAATAATGTAAGATAAACATATGGAAAGATACCAGGCAAGAGAAAAGGAAGGCAGACCCTACCGTAATTGTGGAACTAACTAGGTCAGGTTGGGTGAGATAATTAAGAGTGACTAACTGATGGGCAACCACCTCTCTTCAGGGAAAGGAATGAAGTGACTTAAACTGACAAATACAGGAAAATTGGCAAAGAAGTAACAAAAGCCCAGTTCAGCATCCCACATTATTTTCTGGACACTGCAGTGAGGAAAAGTGTGACTACTGCAAAAGGACAACAGCTGCATCACGGTGTCATGACACAAGCTCCGTCCCTTTTATACATGTGTATGATGTCATGACACGTTTATGAAAGGGGTGGGACTTGCATCATAACACTGTTTTTATCCGTCTGACCATCCATCCCTCCTCTCCAACATATGCACTCTGGGCATTTTAGAGTACAGTATGGTTAAAGCAGAATAGCATAAATATGCCCCTCCTTTTCCAAATAAAATAATGGAGGTCTGTTCTGTCTTCTGCTTTGTGGGAAACATGGAAATGAGTAAAAAATAAGGAGAGGTGATGATGATACGATACAAACTTAAGGAAAAAATGGAGGCAACCTCAACATATCACCAGATGACAAAAGCATTATTAATTTTATACATCTTAAAATGGTGATAGGATAGTGTTAGCTTAAGGAGGAAAATATAATTTTTATACTACCTTTAGCAATGACTTTAGGCTGTTCAGTCACATTCATGTGTTCATTCAAGGGAAGACAAGTGATGAAATGTGCATCATGACATTGTGATACAAACTCCGTCCCTTCATGCAAGTACAAAGGCCAGAGCTTGACATCATGACACATATTTCATCATTTTGGTGTACTCATGGTTAAACACGGACATATATATGCACTCATGTGACTAAGGGAGAAGCTTTGTGTTAACAAGGGAATGAAGGACAAGATCAGAATCTGGTTCTCAAAACACATCTAGGGGGGAGATGACTTTTCATTACAATGTTGCTAGTCAAGATGAAATTACTGAATACAGACTGCAGGGACTAGATTTATGCCAATACAACTAGATTGGCATAATAGGTAGTTAGACATGCTCAATGGCATTCAGCTGGATGTCTAAGCTGGTTTTTTTTTTTGGTAGTAGTAGTAGTAGTAGTAATAATGAGAATACTATGCTAATGGATCACCAAGCAAGAGAGATTATTTAGTTCACAGGCTACTGAGAAAATCATCCACTTAGTACCAAAAGCAAACTCTGCATTTTACTCATGATAAACAGCAAACAACCTGGCCAGTATTATGTTATTTGTGAATATATATATATATATATATACTGACCATTATTTGAACTGTGGAAAAAAAATATAAATAACTTTAGTGCTTACTCAGTAAACTCTCTTTATATATATGGGTGTGTGAGAGAGAAATACGGAGAGAGAGGAAAAAATATGGTTTGTTATTAGATCTTAATATACAATGAAGCCCAACCAGTGTGGCCAATGATGAGGGGCGCTGGGTGCTGTAGTTCAGTTCCCAAAGGGACCAACCAGCCTGGTCAGTGATCCAGGCTGCAGGAAGTTGTCCTTCAGCAACATATAGAAATCTGATGTTTATAAGGCTCCTCACTGCAGCCTGAGATGCTGCCTCCCATGCAGCTCTTGGCTGTTTCTTAAATCAACTTCAGAAATTACTGTCCAGATTGCAGTAGGTTGTTCATAGGGCTTGGCCAGTGCTTAATCTGAATTATGGCCACTGCAAGACCTGATTGGCCCTGCTTCTTGCCCTACCCATCCATACAGGAAAAAAGCCTCTACCAGTCCCTGCTTTTTCCTTTTAGGATTCTTCCCTCTCACTAATCCATGTGCATTTCCTTCCTTTTCCCAGATGTTTTCACCTATGGATGCCTTCATACACCCTCCTTTCTACAGTATTATCTTCTTGGACACTAAAGCAGACCCTTTGTCCCCCCCCCTTTTGGTACTATCATGGGTCTGATGCTACAATTATCAAATTGTCATGATAGGTATAGGTTCTTTCGTTCCTACATTCCTCTGTAAATCCATGGAAACTTTGTCACAAGGAGGAACTGATAGTTTAGTTTAATAGAAACAAAGTACAATGTTCCTATGTTGTTAAAAAAAGGGAAGGGAAGGGAAGGGAAGGGAAGGGAAGGGAAGGGAAGGGAAGGGAAGCTTTCCAGTACTGTGGGCAGGAGGTGGAAAAGCAAGTGTAGCATGCTGCACCAGCCTGGGCAGAAATGGAAAGGGTGCCCAATAGGAGATGTAAGGGTTGAATGGAACTTAAGCTTTTAGGGCTGGAGATAGTTCAACCATTGTTGAATAAATCTCAAGATTATACAAAAAATAGCAACTGCCATCCAGCAGAAAATATAGCAGCCTGGCAGTCCAGGATGAACCGGCTGCATTGGGCAGAAACCAGTCACTGGAAGAAAGGGGGGGCGCAGCCAATTGTAGCAGGGGCTGCTGCTAGAATGACTAGAAGCACTGGAGATGATCCACTCTGAAGGGCTTAAGATGACTTGAGTCAGAAAATAGCACTTTTGAACTGAAGCTGGAAAATATAGCTGCAAGGTACATTTGCAGTGGGCTGGGAGTGGAGGAGGAATGGAGTATGTTTCAGATAAGTGGATTAAGCATAAGTCTATTCATATGCCATTTATTCATAGCCAAGGAATGAATATAAATATAAAAACATGATTAGTTTGATTGTTTATGATGAGAAATCAGAATAACTAGTGAAGAATACAGCAGTGATGAGAAGTTCTGAATTGGATAGACCATTATTAGATAGTATCAAGAGCAGATCTTGGGAAAAATAGACATGGAAAAATAGTAAGAAGTGAAAGAAACCAGAGTGAATGTAGAACAACTGTAGGAAGAGAACATCCTGTATGGAAAGTATTAGATATGAATGGAAAGCGGATATAAGGAAAGAGGATGTGGAAGTTGTTTGGAACAGAGTAAAGAGGACTGTTTCAGAGCACCACAGAATTGTGTGGATTTCTATAATGGGACAGATGAAGAAGGATGATCTGCTGAATGATGAAAGAGTGAAGGAAGTCATGGATGAAGGGAAAAATGCATATACCAGAATTAATGTTGCAAGTTGTTTTGGAAATGGATGAAGAGGGCTAAACAAGGATCTTGAGCAGAGTGAACAAAATTAAAAATAACTTATTAAATGATTTGGAGTGAGAGAAAGTTGGAAACTGAAATGAGGGAATGCTGGATGGAACACTAGAGATTTGTATGGGATTGATGATGACATGTCAAAAATTGGAATTGAAATGAATGTTGTAAACATTAGTGTCCAAGGAAAAAAAATGATGAGAAGGCAGTCATAAATGTTCTGAGAATATTGAAAAATGTTAAAGCTGTAGGAGAAAATTGTGTAACTGGAGAAATGTTAACATGTGGTTTGCTTATGGAATATGTAACTTATTTAACACATATGTGAACAATGTACCCGTGCCTGCAGAATACTGTTATTGCTCCCCTATACAAAAGTAGCAAGAGTGAAATCTACAGGGGAATGAGTTTGTTAAATATGCCTGGGAAGGTATTTGAAGATGGACTTTTGGTAATGGGCAATATTTGGGAACTGCAGAATAGCTTTATGCTGGGCAGGGTTTTACAGATTAGATTTTTGCTCTTCAGTGGGTCTTTAACAAATATATGAGTATCAGAAAGAATTGTATTGTACATTTGTTAATTTAGAAGAAGAATATGATAAAGAGAATAAGTTTGAATTATGAAACATTTTGTTGAAATATAGAGTTAAAAGTTTGTTGCTTAATGCTATAAGAATGTATATGATGAATGTAAACCATGTGTGAGAATAAATATAAATGCTTAACAAATGGTTCAACACTGAGAACATAGGTTTGTGAAGTCCCCCTGGTTAGATAAATGTATAAGAAATGCTTGTGGTGACATTAGAAGTGTTTTTGGGGGGATGTGAACGTATGTACATTTTATATGCAGATGATGCTGTGTTATTGGCTGAGAACCTGAATGATATGCTATGAATGCTAGAGAGTTTGCATGATGCTAATGATACAACTTAACTTACAGTGGGGCAAAAAAGTATTTAGTCAGCCATCAATTGTGCAAGTTCTCCCACTT